ACCTGTAGACCTGAGACGTGAAGATCTCCTCAAAGGAGGCGTAAAGTTCTTTTCACAGAAGACGTGAAGGTCTTCTTATGGAAGACGTGAAAGTCTCCTCATAGTAGACGTGAAGGTCTTCGCTCATAGAAGACGTGAAGGTCTTCGCTCATAGAAGACGTGAAGGTCTTCTCATAGAAGACGTGAAGGTCTTCTCATAGAAGACGTGAAGGTCTTATCATAGAAGTCGTTAAGGTCTCCTCATAGGAGACATAAAGGTCTCTTCATATACACCATGAGGTTCTTCTTACAAACGCAAAGCCTTCGCATAGACACCTTGAAAGGCTTTTCATAGACACCGTAAGGCTCTTCTCCTAGAATCCTGCCTTTTTCTTTTAATAAATGTAGTCACTTTATTTTGTTTTCTCTACTCCTACGAAAGAGAGAAATCTTTTTTAACTCTCCCTAAAAAAAATGGCTGAGTAAATGTCAGTTAGCTGTTGTGCTCTATCCAAAAGGGTAGTCCACATCCAATACAAGGGCAGCTCACAGCCAATGATTTATCGTTCACTAATAGCAATATCGTTATGCAATTATTATTTTATTGATCTCCCCTACAAACTCTTGCCAATCCACTGTGCAGGAAATTTTAATATTAACTACCGACACCACAAGAATGTCATCCATCCTTTGGCTTGTAGTTATTTTCGCTGCTGTTCTTGTTGTTGTTGTTAATGTCGTTGCTTCGTTGCTCATAAATTCATAAAAATTCATTTGTATTTTATATGGTTGGTGGCGTTCGTTCGCCTGCCACAACACCATAATTACCACTTTTTATTGCCAGTTCTATTAACCACCAGGGCTAAAGCTGACAAAGGAGCTGCTGATCTTATGTTGCCTTCTACCTTCCGTTTGCAATCAGCGAGCACGAGGCATTACAAAGCTGCTATTGTTGTTGTCGTTGTTACAATCCCTTTTTAACTCTGGCTAAGGGTTTTCTTTTTTCTTCTGGCTCCCACTCTGCCCATGGAGAACAACCTGCTGGATAAATACAATACAAATTGTTGTTGGTGGATAACCTTTAACCAGTTTTGCAACGTTATTCTGTTTTATTTCTTGCAGTTGTCAGTAGAATAAAATTTCATCAGCCAACACCACCACCCGCCCCCAACCTTTCCGCACTCCGTGTCGTCCATTCGTAAAGCAAGCAAGCAAGTAAGCTAGTTTGGTATCTGTTCGGAAATTGTTCTTTGAATATTTTGCGCTTGGCTGAGATGACAGCCAAACACCATCATCTGCCAACTTTACCCCCACCGCCCAAGACCTTCACTTAGATGTAAGGCATCGAATTTTTGCTTTCTGGGAAGGGAAAAATTCTCAATAAAACATTTGTAGCAGCTAAGCTAAAAAACAACCTTAGATTCAAACATTTGTATGGCCCACAGAATCCGCCACCCCTTTAAATCCCTTTGCATATTCGTAAAACTTCTAACTATTCCCGCAAGTATTACCCGCTCTTATTCCGCTTACTCATCGAAATGTCAAAGTTTAAATTGATTTTTTTCTTCGTTCGTTTTTTGGGAAATAGACTTTTCTTTATTTCCAAAAATTGGGTTAGCGCGAAAGAATTAGTCACAAATTGAAGAGGGGGAGGGTAGGGGAGAAGAGACGAATTGGAGGTAAAGGATTTGTAATTTAACCAGGCTTATATTGTTTTAGGTTTTCACTGCTCAACGGTGGCAAAATGAAATCTTTTACAAAACCCCAAAAATTCATGGTTATTTAATGGCGATTTAAAAGCCATTAACTTTGGTGGGGACAATATTTGAAAGTTTTGCAGAATTTAAGAAAGATTTATAGATAATTTTTTGGTGGAAATAATTTAGAAATTAGTTTAATAGACATTTTAGATTATTTCTGGACAAAAATGTTGCTCAAAGGTCTAAAGAATAATAATTTAAGACTTGAAGATTATTTCTATAAAAATGCTTGGCCGCCATGCAAAAACTCGTTTAGTTGAGGCTGAAAGCTCAAGACCATCGTTCAGAAAATACTTATACTCCTGAAAGTTTCTTTCTTCGGCTACCAAAATCTTGGGCGCCAGGAAAAAAATCATGGATATAGGGCAAAAAAAATGTGTACCCACAGAAGAAGTGAAGTTTTTCTCAAAGAAGACATAAAAGTATCCTCATATAAGACGTGAGGTCTTCTCGCATAGAAGAGCTGTAGGTCTTCTCATAGGAGATATTAAGGTTTTCTCATAGGATACGTTAAGGTCTTCTCACTGTGTAGGTCTTCTCATGGAAGACCTGTACGTTTGGTCCTTAAAAAATATTCTTTAAAAATCCACGTTTAGTTCTTGAAAAAATGTTCGTTAAAAATCTACGTTTGGATCTTGAAAAAATATTCGTTAAAAATCAACGTTTGGTCCTTGAAAATATATTCTTTAAAAATCCACGTTTGGTCCTTGAAAATATATTCTTTAAAAATCCACATTTGGTCCTTGAAAAAATATTCTTTAAAAATCAACGTTTGGTCCTTGAAAAAATATTCCTTAAAAATCAACGTTTGGTCCTTGAAAAAATATTCTTAAAAAATCCACGTTTGGTCCTTGACAAAATATCCTTCAAAAATCCACGTTTGGTCCTTAAAAAAATGTTTTTAAAAATCCACGTTTTTTCCTTGAAAAAATATTCCTTAGAAATCCATGTTTAGTCCTTGAAAAAAATATTCCTTAGAAATCCACGTTTGGTCCGTGGAAAAGTATTCTTTAAAAATTGAAAAAAAAAAAATCTTTAAAAATCCGCATTTGGTCCTTGAAAAAATATTCTTAAAAAATATATTCGCTAAAAATCCACGTTTGGTCCTTGAAAAAATATTCGTTAAAAATCCACCTTTAATCCTTAAACAATATTATTTGAAGATACACGTGTGGTCCTTGAAAAAATATTCTTTAAAAATCCATGTTTGGTCTTTGAAGAAATACTCCTGACAAATCCACATTTGGTCCTTGAAAAAAATAGTCTTTAAAAATCCACGCTTGGTCCTTGGAAAAAAATGCTTAAAAATTCAAGTTTGGTCTTTAAAAAAATATTCTTTAAAAATCCTCGTTTGTAACTCAGATAATCCTTGAAAATATTCCCTTATAATCCACAATTATTTATTGGAAAAAAATCTATAAAAATCCCAATTTTGTGGCTCTGTTGATCCTTAAACAAAATTTTCCCTCAAAAACTTATTTTTCCTTAAAAAATATTATTTAAATAAATATTCGATTAAGTCTCTAATACAAAAGACATGCAAATCTTTTGTTCGAAGTTTTGCAAGTCTTCAATAAATTTACTCAAAAAAAATTGAAATACTTTTTCGACTTGCTTCTTTATTTATTGACAATAAACCCTCCATTAAATCCCCCATTGACTTTCGACAAATTCCCCTAATCCCCAGCGCCTGCTCTTGTTTGAGCACCACAGCTTCCAGTTGCCAGGAATATCACATACTGGCTTTGTTACTTTTTTTGAACTTTTGCTTCATGGAAAATTTAAACAAGCAACAATTTTGTTAATTCCTAAATACGATGGACGATTTGAAACAATTTTGAAAGAAAACAAAATATTTGTTTAGCAAAATTTGTGCTTAACAAACAAATGCCGAGCCGATAAATCTTCACCACCCAAACCTTCTCTCTCTCTTTCTCCCAGTTCATGCAACACTTGAAAATAAGTCACGCTGGAGGTTATTGTCACAATGAAAAAAAAAAAAACGACAACAACAACAACAGCACCATAAGCTGCCTGCTGCATCAACTTCTGTTACCAGTTATTATTAAATCGACAAAAATACGCATATTTTTCTAAACAAAGTTTTTTCTTCTGCTTCTACTTCTTTTCTGCACTTCTCACAGCGGGCATTTGAAGGAGACTTCAATTGCCAATGCCAGAGAGTATTATGAAGTTCTTACGTGCCGTACTCGGTTGGACTCCATTCATCCATCCATCCTTTCAGGCATCCGGGGAGCGGGCAAGTGCCACCACTAACACATGAGTGCAGTAGTATTAGTAGTAGCAACAACAATAATACCAAAGACATTCCAAGAACAGTCGAACTTCTTCGAAAAGATTAATATTTGTTTTCTTTATGAAGAACGAGATGGAGAAGCAGAGGAAGAAGAAGAAGCTAAAAAGTCTGGTACTTCAAAGTTTCTGGATGTTGTTGTTGCTTTTTTTATTTGAAACTTTCGGAGCATTGAAAGGAGGTCGATAGCAAAAAAAGTCAAGCGAACCAAAACACAAACTCTGGAAAAGAAGTGTTTCGACAGAAATCGACATGCCGACAGTGGGGTGAAACAAAAGGCATCACCTTTTTTTAAAACAAAACCATAAAATGGCATGCCCGTACTTAAATGAAACCCCAAAGTAATGCTCTTCACCTAAAGAGAAGTTTAAAATCCTCTCCAAAACAATAACTACCCAAGGAGCTTTTGTGTTTTCAAGTGTTGCTGCTTTCTTTTCAGATTTCAAGTCACTGTGCAAACCATCACTGAAGTACCCCCTCCCGCAAAAAGGCCAACAATTATTTGAAGCCATATTTTCGTTTCTTTGGCAAAACTTAAATGCAAATTGGGAAAAGTAAAAGAAAAGTGCAGAACATATTTTCAAAAATTTTCCCAAAAAGTCAAAATATAAAAACAAACATATGCAAATAATAGAAGGCCTATTTTGTTGTACTTTTAGGTTTTACACATGCACACACACACTGCCACACAAACAAAAAACTCAATTAGAATTTATTGCAATATTTATTTATGTGCAAAAGTGCTGATGCATTTTTTGTGCATTATTATTATTCCATTTAATAATTGCTCTTCATCGCATACACACACACATGAACATGTAAACACGTACACGTACACACAACAAGTAAACAAACAAAAAACCTTTTAACAAATAACAATAATCAATAGACTTACTTAAACTAATTATTATCTTTTGTTGTTTTTGTTGCTATTGTTATCATTGCAGAAATGAGAATAATATCCGGCGATGTTTCCTCTCACTACTGGGAAACACCCTATTCGCAGCCATATTTTGATAATTCCTCAAGGCGTGAGGTTACCTCAATTGTGGGCCAGGCAGCCCTGCTGCAGTGTCGTGTACGCAACTTGGGAGATCGAGCTGTAAGTAATATTTCCCTATAACGATCAAATATAGTTTGAAAGGGGTTTTGTGAAAAATATGAAAACAAACGATTAATGGCTTGGTCAAAAGTCTACCTATAGATCCCTAATTCATATAACTTAACCATCTTTCAAACAGATCAGATTTCATATATGAAAAAACTGAGTTTGGTTTTGTTCCTTTTAATTATATTTATACTATTGAAGGTTAACATATTAAAGTTAAGCTTTTGGTAAAAGTAGCCAAAGAGCGATCTATCAAAAATTTGGGGAAACAGGAAAAATTGTTTTCAGAAAATGTAGGAAAAGAAGAATTTTTGTTTTATACCAAAAATCAGTAAGGAAAAGCCAAAAGTCGGGCGGGGCCGACTATATGATACCCAACAACACTATGCATATTTAGAATACCTCCCATAACAAAAGCATTTATTTGAAGTAGATCATACCTTCTATCAACCTTTAGCTTTAGAGCAATTATAATTTGGTTCCAGAGGGAACGAATATATGCGAGGCATATTCAATTCTGAATCGATTTTCACTAAATTTGACGGATACATTTTCACATTTTATACCAAATAACATTGCTATAGAGTGCATGATATCACTTCGAGAAGGATTATATTAAAAGATAAATATGTATCAGAACCGAGTTTCACAAAATGGAAACAAAAGTCCCGAAATTCACTCCTTTGGACTGATATTAGCCAAATAATGGCACAATAAACCTGAAATCGGATTAAGGATATATATGGGAGCTATATCCAAATCTTAGCCGATCTCTATAAAATTTTGCAAATGTATTTCCGAGTTCTATAAGATATCTGGTAACAAATATCATTGTTGTCGAATGTATATAACGAATGTGAGGGATTTAAACACCAAATATGAAACATATATATGGGACCTATAGCTATATCTGAACCGATTATTGACAAATTTATGTACTTGCTTCTAGACTGAATATGGTCGGATGTGCCAAAATTCACGTTATTTGGACTGATATGAAATCGGTTGAAAATATATATGAAGATATATATAAATTTATATCGATTCTCTCCATGTTCAATAATTTAAAAAAAATGTCATCTCAATCGAATAATAAATGCGACCTGCATTTTATTCACAAAAATACATGTTCAGACGGACTAACTCGATTAATCCAAATCCAAACTACAGATCCCTACAAATTTACCTTTCAACTGTATTCGATCACACATAATGCTATGTTCCCATTACACTTTCAATCATGTTGTTTGCTCTCAGAATTAGGTACACGAATTAACCCGTTCATACGGCACGATTCGTAATTCATAGTAAAATAATTCCTTTTTTCAAACATTTTGTTTGTTGATTTTAATGGGAATTTATAGAAAAATACATGAAATTCTCACTAATATGAATAGAAGAAATTATTCCAAGAATAATTATATCATTAATTTTACAATTTCCATTCTCGTTTTCAACTTTTTGTGTAAATGTTGACATTTTGAAGAAATTATTCCAAGAATAATTATATCATTAATTTTACAATTTTCATTCTCGTTTTCAACTTTTGTAAATGTTGACATTTTTAACATATTTTTGTATTTTTCTTTTTTTAAATTCTGCTGAAGAGACACTTGTCAGATATTTTTCCTGCCGATGCAAACATTTTGAAAATATTGCCTCTTTTGTTTGCAGTTTTCTGTTGAAATTTCAACTCGTGGACAAAATGTGTACCTCGAATGAGAGAGACAACAAAATGTACTTTCGTTTGAATGTACATACGACATTCAACATTGTAGTTTTCATTCATAATTTTCAGTATTCCCAAAAATTTTTAAAATTTCATCAATTTTTTTTTTCGATAAATGCTCTCATTTGTTAGGGATGGGGCACATTCTTTCGTTGTTCTGAGAGTGATTTGATTTGAACAATGTACAAATATATGTGTTCGCTCAGGAAATTTTGTATGAAGAATTAAGAAGTTTTTTCATATTTAAGGGTCAAACAACGAATAGAGAGCGAATCAAGTGTAGTGGAAACGCCACATAAATTACAATTGAAATTTAAATTAATTTTCATGATTTCAATTAGAAAGCTAAAGTTTACAAGCATTATTATAACGTCTCAACATGTTTATTAATTACTGTTTCTTTCAAGAAGGTCTCCTGGATACGAAAACGAGATTTACACATACTAACCGTTGGCATCCTGACCTACACAAATGATCAACGATTTCAATCGCTGCACACTGAGGGCTCCGACGAATGGACGTTGCGTATATCATCACCACAGCCCCGGGATTCGGGGACGTATGAGTGTCAGGTGTCGACGGAGCCGAAAATAAGTCAGGGATTTCGCTTGAATGTTGTAGGTAAGTAAAAAAGGAATGAGGAGTTTGGTTCTACAAATTGCCTCTATGGAGCGTCATTTTGCCATAGCTTAGGGGTTAAGCTATAGACACGTTAAGCGTTTTTCACGTTAAATGTCATCGATAAAACAATAAACATAAGTGGAAAGTCTTACTGACTCTGAACTTCTTTATGTTCTTTCATTGACAAACCATGACATAAAAAAATGGCCTACGCAAACATTTTTTGTTCAGAGTTACCAAAACACAATAATTATAACTAGTGGAAGAAATGCCAACCATCTCGAATCTCATGCCATAACGAAACGCTAGGCCTCAAAAAAATGACTTAAGGTGGGAATACATAAAGCGCATATCTGGCTGGCTTAAGTCATCGGCTGGCTTCGTTAGAAATGAACAAAGCAGCCTAGGGCCAAATTGAACTAAGTCGACCTTAAACTCCTTTGTTCCCCTACGAAGAAGCCAGCCAAATATGCGCTTTATGTATTCCCACTCTTAAGGTGCAAGTACATAAGAAGTTTGAAGTCATGGCTAGGAATATTTTGTGATATTTCATAAAGAGCTGTAAAATCCTGCCGCCGTTTTTCATTATAATTTGACTATAATATGCCTAACCAGAATCAATTTTTTTAATACCATAAAGGAAAAATCGGCTATCGTAGTAAAAATTTTTAAATTCATGCATTTCTCAGGTCAATAAAAGAGAAAATGTCAAATGAAAAAATTTAGAAAAAATTAAAGAAAATACCACTTTTATGTTTTCGTTGAACAAGAATTCAACCCCAGGATTTCGTAGAATCGATATCGTACTTCAATTCATTTTTTCCCTTTAAAACAAAAACTAATTAAACTAATAATTGTTTTCTCTGTCGTTGTGTGTTTTATTTTCAGTTTCAAGAGCTAAAATTCTTGGCAATCCTGAACTATTCATTAAAAGTGGCAGTGACATCAACCTGACATGTTTGGCAATGCAATCACCGATACCACCCTCATTCATCTATTGGTACAAGGGCAAACGATTAATGAACTATTCACAGCGTGGCGGCATTAGTGTTATTACCGAAAGGACAACACGTACCAGCAAGCTTCTAATATCGAAAGCAACACCAGCCGATTCGGGAAATTACACATGTTCTCCAAGTAGTTCAGGTACTGTAAAACAAATTGCGAATTGTTTTTCATTAGAAAATTAATATTAAATTCATTTTTGTGTTTTTCATTACAGATTCTGCCTCGGTAGTGGTGCACGTTATTAACGGTGAACATCCCGCAGCCATGCAACATGGCAATAATAGTGCTACAACACTTATACCCTCCTATCGACGACGTCGCATGCTGTCATCATCACTCACATTCAACGGTGGCCAGATGACATCATTCTACGCCAAAATATCAACACTTTATAGTATTTTATGGTCGATAATTGATTTTATGATTGCAACAAATTGTTGTTTAGTTATTTTGGGTATCTGTCTGTCACAGCGACTGTTGCACACAAGTGGTCGTCCAAATCATTGGCTAAACAGGTGACTGTAAACAGTGAAAGGTTATGACTGTTCGGTCTGGACCGAATCTAATGCAAGGCCGCCCATTACATTCATCATTAAGATCAATAACAACAACATCAAAACAGCAACAACAACAGTACCACCTTCATCCATGGAAGAGTTTGCCGCAAGAATGATGAAAATGTGAATGGGTTTAATGCTCTTTCGAGGTACAATCGAATGCAGCATTAGATTGGTGCAATGGTTTTTTAGTTTTATATTTTAGACAAGAGAACAGAAACGAAGTTTGGCAACGCGAAAATAACAGGAATGAGTGTACACTACTATTAGGGTTATATAGATCGACTTGCTAGTAGATGAATATGTACTACACTTTTGGTAACGAAAATGGAAATTTCAATTGATTTTCCGTTTCCTTGGCTACCAAAGTGGCAAAATGAACTATTCCTCCGGATTCAGAACCAAGTCGAAATAGTATTATTGAGTGGATCATGATCAGTTACATTATAAACATCGTCATCATTACCATACAAAACTAGAACAATAGCAACTGGGGTTTCCACCTAAATGGTGCGATGCAATGGGTTCCCGGCACTAGATCCAACAGCAACCACAACAACTACAACCTAAGAAAATTGTGTATGCAAATTGAAAAAAATCGTCGTCGTCAAAGAGACAGAAAGTAAACTTTGCATTTGTTTATATTGTTCATAGTTATTAATTATTATTATACTATTATTATTATTATAAATAAGTAAGTTTAAAGATTTTAATTATGTATAACATAATATTAAGTAGATAAAAGTAAAAATGAAACCAAACAAAAAAGAAATCCATAAAGAGAAAACAAAACAAAAGAAACTGCTAATATTTCCAAACGGTTTTCTTTTTCGTACCTATGCTGTATACGTTTAGATGAATTATTTGAAAATGCATTTCACTTGAAGTTTTCTGTTTAATTTCAATACATACAATTTAATTACAGTAATTATTTTTTGTGGTCTACTTGAAGGAATATTGTCCCAGCGCAGCAGTTCAATCTATAAACCCGTAAACCAATGAAATATTTTATGATACCTAATTATATTTTCAAAATCATTCATCTAAACCTACATGGTAATCATTAAGTATGATAGACTTATAAAATTCATATATATGTATGATAAGGTACGAAAATAATACCACAAAATAATAATAAAAACTAAGTAAAGCGAATATGAAATGTGTTTTAATTCATTGCATCCCGAAAGAGGTAAGGTAATTGGAATAGGTTTGTTTTTGCCTAAGATTTACTCAGAAATACATTTGGAAATCATTTCGGGGAGCCCGAGGGGCAAAACACTTACTTTTCAATGCAAATGTAGAAATTAGTGAACCATAGTCGCCGACAGCATCATCTGTTTGGAGGTCACCTAATTATAATAAAATGTTCCACGTTAGAAAAAGGCACTTCAAAGCTACTCTGAAAGCTGAAACAATCTAAACTTAATTGGCCAAAACCATACTGGCTTCTCCATGCAACTGATGTTCTCTAGTTGATATAATGAATTCGGAACTACACCAAAATGAATACTAATAAGGCCTCCCTTGTTGACCTACAAGTTATATTTGTCTTTAGACTTCTATTTCTGCGCAATGTATCCGGACAAGCCTGGAAGGCTTGCCAAGTAAAATAACTTACAGAGAGAATCTTTGTATCTTCATACAGATGGTCTACTGCTGTCATCAGCATAATTACAGACCGACTTGCAGGGTGAGATAATTTTTTTTTTAAATTTTATTGTATGAAAGCAAAAAAAATGTCGGAAATAGCACCAAATTTTAGAATTAGTTTAGATTTGTTCGAATTGGTCACCTTTGGCACGAATTTTAGCCTTCATGCCTATGAAACCGTCACACGGTGCCCGAATGATGCTCTGCGGTATTTTGGCCCATTCCCGGCGAAGCGCTTGCTTGTGGTGATGTACACTTTGGTATTTTTTAGTGCCAACCTTGCTTTCCAAAATACTGCAGACACAATAGTCCAACGGATTGTTATGCGGAGATTTTGGTGGCCATTGTGCGCGGAAATGAAGCGAGAAACCTCATTTTGTAACCATTCTTGGGTGGCGCGTGCTGAGTCCAATGGTGCTGAGTCCTGTTGGAATGTCCAAGGTCTGTGGAAAAAAGTTTTGCGTGCCCAAAGCTTTAATAAACCCTCCAGAATATTTTCGCAATAATATTCGGCATTTATTCAGATGCCACGGTCGATTAATACGAGCGGCCAGCGTTTGTGTTCTGGGTTCCAACCGAAGGTGCACATTTTCAGCTGACCTCTTTGGCAAATGAACACGATCATTTTGTCTGTTTACAAAACAGCTGGACGACGAATGTTTTCTCTTCGAACCATTTCTACTGTGTCGCTGTTTTCATCCGTCCACTTCCTTGGCGTCGGGCTACGCTACCAGTGGCACAGTAACGAGCGATGGTACGAGACACATGGAAAATTCTTCGCAAAATGCGTTTGTACGCTTGTGAACAATATAATGAGCTGTCACTGGAATAATTTTAACAGCTGTCGGACGAGTGGCTTAGAAATGAAAGCAGTCTGAAATTTTTCATCTCACCCTGTACTTATTAAAAGCAGGTCGTCTAGAAAAGGAAGGAAGACTTCTGCCATTAATACAACAGGTTTACAACAGTAGGCGAGTGCCAAATGAAAATGTCTTCTATCAATAGAATAAGTGTCGTCTAAAAAAAGTTCTTCTATTAATAATAGAGGACTTCCATAAAAACCAAAAACGCATTTTTTATTGATAAAATATGTCTTTTATTAGAAAAAGTATATTTTATAAATTCCCTTTTCTATTTAAAGGAGAAGGGGTCCTTTTATGACAAATTGTATAACTTACCTCTCATCTTCGTCCTTCTAATTTAAATAAAATATTTCGTATTAAAAATAATTTTATAACTTGTTTATTACAACAATATTAAGTGGTAGTACTTCTTCAACACCTCATGAATATCTTTATGGCGTAGTAGTTAATGTTATAAAACTCTCACACAGAGGAGAGTCCTTCATAAACATCAACCACACAAATGAGTTGTAAAATATTCCTTCTTTATATTCTTTAATTATTCCTATTACTATATGGTATGGTATTGTTGTTTGTTTGGCTTAAATAATAAATGAAATAGTGCTTTCGGCCATAAACAACACATGATGGATTACGTAGTGCTAACAACGTTTTGGGGGAAAAGTGGGAAATGTTCAAGGATGTGGTATTATTAAGGACTGGATGAAGTAATGGTTTTAAAGTGAATGGCAATAACTTAACATGAAAGTTGTATATATTTTGATGCCAGTTTAATAATTGGCTATTATTCTTCAAATTTTCATGTAACACATAATTAAATGTTAGGTATGATATTAACATTAGTTCTATACTTTTGCAAAATCCTGCAAATACAGGAGAATCTAAAACGTTTCTAAAAATTTTACGAAATCATACATAATTTTGTTGGGTTGAAAAACAAACCAAAGATAATTATACAAATGCAACAACAATTTCTCATTTGTATATAAAACCAAAGAAGGAAATTAAAAACAACAAAAAGTATAACTAATAAAATGTTTATTAAACCGTACTCAAACGTAAACGCTTAAAGCGCCAACCCAACAATAAATAATATAATCAAATGGCCGTAGCATTTGGTTTCGTTGTTGATTCTGTTGATGATGCAGCAGCAGCTGTAGCTGCCACTTGCACCTGTTCATTTTCCCCACCCTCTAACTTCTTTTGACCCTCCTCCAATTTTTTAGGTTCAGCTGCAACCTCTTCTACTGTATCCTCAATCAATTGGTATGTAATAGGAGCTGGCTGTTTAGGTGGCAACCAATCGGGTATGATCTTATCGTGCAAACGCCAGCGACCATATTCATTGGAGATGTGCTTTTCAAAGACAACATATTCCAGAACATCTTTGGTAAGAATTTCACTACCATGCATAAGACGTCCAAAACGATCATAGATGGCCAACATTTGTTGTGTATGGAAACGTACTGTGACCTGGGCAAAGAGATTTTCTTTGGAAATAACATCGGTCACACGAGCATGCACCATACGTGGTGGCTCCAATGACTTGAGGAATGTCCAACGTATGGTTTTATCCTTAACATTGTGCATCATTTCGGGATAACAACGTTCGGTAACAAATTCTCGTAGATTGTGTTTATCCTTATCAGCCATATATTTGTGGGCAGCAATGTAAATATCTTGGGCAATGGTTGGGAAGTTATCGGTATCGAAATCTTCTTCATAGGTACGTATCTTGCGCACAGCCAACATACTTTTCGATTTCTTTTCCAAAAACTCAAACTTTTGCTTGGCACCAGCAGTGGAAATGAACGATTTTTTGCCATCACCTTCTGGCGGAACATAAGCCTCGAAAATACCACCCGTACAACTAATATGGAATGGTCTTTCCAACCACGGACGTGGTGGCAGAAAACCTCGTTCTTTCATGCGTTTCTTCAACTCATCCTGTGGCAATTCACTGGCTTTCTCCTGGAAGTCGGGTAGGTCCATTTTGACAAACTTCAACTTGCGTAGCCGTTTGAATTTCGGATTCCAATGCTTCGTTTGCCGGTGACGAACCTGCTGGCTCTGTACCAAAGATTGTACACCCGGTGTCAGCATGCCTGGTTGCACAAACTAGAAAAATGGAAAACATTGAGTGCATATCTAAACATTTGACACAAACTCTACACTTACCTGCAAGTATTTAATGCAGTTCCTTGTGGAGGACAACAATTCCATGGTTTACGTAAGTTTTTATTGATATTTTCCACTGGAAACAATTTCCTCCTTCAGTACTCCACAAGAATTTTATACAATCAACCATATGTCGTTGTATGTCATTGAAGCAGAGTTGCCACTCCGTCAAATCGTGTTGAGAAATAATCAGCTGTATGAGATTTATGTTATGTTCATACTAGGCTTCATATCTTTCTCATTCTCTCACATGGTAGAAAAATATAGGTAGACGCATCGACGCAGCTGCTGGGACAATGAACTGTCAAACCAATTTTGGAATTGAAAATGTTGAATGAAAAGTTATTTAAATTTGTAAAAATCGATGAAAAACACGCATTAAAATAACCTCCACACGACGTTGTATTAGAAAACATATAAAAATCTACTTACATTTGAAAAGAAACTAAAATAATTTTGACATATCAATGCTCCCAAGCGTTGATGCATTTACCTGTATTTTTCTACCATGTTCTCTCATTTTAATTGTTTTAATTCATGTTCAGACTAGAGTTGATATTCAAAAGAGTTTAATTATATAAGACACAAGAAATTATTAAAACAAAAAAAAAAAATAATAATAATACTGCGTCCTTTTAGGTGGCAAGACAACGGAAAATCCAATGCCACTATACAACGCTGATTGCAGAATCGACATTGGCGTTATTGTCTTCGACTACATACTTAGATAAGACAATTTTGTTAGAAGGAGACAACTTATTGCAGTTCGAGAGGAGCATAAAGATAAACTAAGTAAAGGGGTAGGATAAATATGAGAAAGTTAGTAGAAAAATGTATTATGTCAAAAATCTCATTTTTACCCTACGTAGACGCATAGCTATGATCTTTTTATTTGTACCATGAATTTGCACCAAAATTGTAATTAGGATATCGCAAATTTTCCTGAATTGTTTGTGACGATTTAGCGATTTTCATGCCATTCAGATTTGGCATTCAATTTTGAATAGTGTATTCGACACTCCATTTTGAATAAATATTTTTAATCCATTTGTATGAAATATATTTACATTTTATTTTGATCGGAAGATTCCATTCATCATTCTAGTGGAAGGCAGCTGCTGGAAATTAGAGTTGATTTCTTCCGAATTGGAAGTGAATTGTGTCTGTTGATTGTCCAGAGAAACAAGCCATCCATTTTGGTTTTATGAAAAAGTGAAAAAAAATTTGTGAATAAAAGAATTATAAAGAAAATACGTTTAATTTCATATTTTCATAAAATTCGTGGAAGAAAAAGGATTTTTAGGTTAACTTATCTTGATTTTGGTCCATAATTTATAAAAGTTCTCCATACGCTCCTTTGTTGCTCTCCGAATAAGCCACTCGATGACTTAAGCCAGTTCAAAGAGTTTTTTACGTATTCTCACCCTGAGAATACACGATGACTTAAGCCAGTTCAAAGAGTTTTTTTATGTATTCTCACCCTGAAAATACATTTTAATTCTTGGTTTCTTCATAAATTGCGTTATTTATGAATGGAATTGACAACCTAAATCCGGCGTTTTATGTAAACATGTTTATTGTAAATAAGACATGTGGATATTGTAATCGATTAAAACTTTTCAATCGAAACGTCACTTGCAAATGCCCAAGCCCTGACGCTTTTAATTTGCCCGTCTCTGACATTCGAATGGCAACACTACTTTAGACTGGCGTTTGGCCAATTTGTCGTAGCATCACCAACTACATAAAAAAGGAAGTATTTTTAAAAAATATTGAACGATGTCCTGTGTAAATAACCGCTGGCAGATATGTCGAGTTTGTTTAAAGAATGGCAGCCACGAATTATATCCAATATTTCAAGAAGTTGAGAAGACTTCGGATTTGGGTAATTTACCCCAGCAAATACAGCTGTACGGAGGCATTAAGGTAATCAACCAGATGAAGGCATGAATGTTGGTATTAATTATAGAATTTATTTATTTACAGATTTGTGATCAAAACAATCTACCAAATAAAATATGCAGCCGTTGTTTGCTGTTATTGCGGGCCGCTTGCAAGTTCCGAGATTTGTGTGAACAATCTTATGAACAATTGAAACAGTTTATAAATCCTGTAAATATAGAAGAAGCACAGATTGTGTTAAGTCCTGATGACCAGGATCAGGATTGTATTTTGCTAAAAACAAATACACAGGAAGCGGAGGACATTGATAATAATGCTGGTGAAGGAAATTTGGTGACGATTATGAAAAATGAATTTGACGTCCAGGATAATATGCAAGGAAATGATAATCAAGTAGAGGAAGAAAGGGAGAGAGACGAAGCAGACGACGACGACGATGAGGAAGATCAATTCATTTATGAACAATTAACCGAAAATAGTCAAGATCATGAATTTTTAGCTGAAGAATCCAATTCATATTCCCTGGAAGATAATATACACATAGAATATTATGATGGTACAAATAAAGCATCATATAATATCCAGTCAATGGTGCAAGAGAGTACCACCAACAATCAGGCAACAACTAAACCTGTTAGAGCCACCAAACGTAAACGAGGCAGAGCAAGCAATAATGATATTAAGCCCGAGGAGGGTGGTATCTATCGCTGTGATTTTTGTGAAAATGTATATCAGGACAAGGCAAAATATATTTTGCACATAAAAATCCACAAGAAAGTTAAACCCCATGAATGCGAGTAAGTCAATACTTGTAAGATTATATTATTTTGAGTTAATAATTTGTGTTTTTGTTTAATAGAATATGTGGCAAGCGATTCTCTACAACGCCTCAGTTATCGCGGCACATGAATTCACATACAGGCAATCGACCATATAAATGCCAATTTTGTGATGCCAGTTTTGGAGATCCATCCACAAAAATCAAACATGAAAGGTGGGTACTCCTATTTCATACGTTTACTTCAGCAGCATTATATCTATTTTGTACCTTTAGAATCCACACCAATGAGCGGCCCTACAAATGTACCCTTTGCCCAAAATCATTTGCTTATTCCAATGTTCTAAAAGTTCACATGATGGTGCACACTGGCGAGAAACCTCATAGGTAAATTTGCAGATTTGGTTTTTCAAAATCCTTCAACAAACGTGTTAATATTATTTTCCATTACAGATGTAGCTACTGTAATAGAGCTTTCTCCCAGCTCCACCATAGAAATGCCCACGAGAAATGCCATACGCGTAAAATAATCGTTTTGGGCAATGAGGATAACGATGATTTCGACGAGGAAATGAAAGAATATGAATTGGAGAAAAGTTAAATAAATACGTTTATTAGTGAAAGTACCTTAAGCAAATATATATGCACATACCTACATAGAGAAACGTACACATTGTTATGCATATTTTTGTATGTGAAAGAATAATTTATTTGGAAATGGTAATGCGCTTTGAAAAAAGTTGTAACTACAGGATATTTGAGTTCTATACTTTAGATGTAGAACATTTATTTTAGTGTAAATTCTTACAATTCGAACATTCTAATTGTAATATGAATTTATTTCTTTGTACTCTAATTTTAAAATTGACATTTAATTCAACTTAATTATAAATAGAATTACAAAAACGTTTGTCATACTAATTTTCTTGGGTGTGGATAAATAAATGTTTCAGCGCAGGATTCAGAATTGTACCTCTCGTCGTTATGTAAATTGCAGTGACTCTGATGCATATCCGTCTTTTGTTGTGAAGCCTGTAATTATTGCAATAGGGATTACCAGGACTGAAGTTTAATACGGAACCAGTGACTATTGATTGCATGCACCATATGTAAACAAGGAACCAGTGTCTCCTAGTATAGCTCTAACCGCACCGGTGGCAACATATCCATAGGCATGCTGACTGCAGTATCAGATATCGTCAGACCATGAAGAAGAGATAGAAACAATTTAACATCTGCAATGCAAATGTCCCATGTTATCTAACAATATACATAAACTAATTGGCACGTTCTTCTCAGTCGTATGTAGATCTCATCATTATTTATACGTTTGCGAAGGCATAGGCGACCTTTCTCGATTTCTCCTGTATCCAACTACCTTATTAAAAATCTTACGATGAACACAATGGACCAAAGGTCTCCGAGTTAAGCACCGCCTTAAGACAAATTATGGTTACCAGCAAATTTAAGGAGAAGCATTTTCCATTAGAATTGACTGTAATCAGTCATATTCAATGAGTAAGAATCGTCCTAGAAATCGGACGTGGATTTAGATTAATAGAATGTTTTCAGAATTTGTTATATCAACCATATAGTTCCTCCAGTGGCCTCGTGTAGTGGCGCATCCTGAAGCCAAACCAAGGGTACCAGTCAATTTAAAGTCGCAGAAACATTTTTTATAAAAATTGACTGTAATCTGTCATATTCAATGAGTGATTATCCTCCTAGAAATCGGACGTTGATTTAGGTTAACTTAACGTTTTCAGTATTTGCAATGTCAACCATATAGTTCCTGCAGCAGTCTGCTATTTCAAATTTTAACTATGACCCCACAATAATCCAATATCCAATCGATTTATAATTAGAATTTTCCACACGTTGGATATAAAGGGGTCATTCTGTCAATGCTTTCGCAGTTTATACTTTTTTTCCTTTAGCATCCCTCAAGAACTTTAAGAATAATCACGTTGCCTTAAATCATATAAAAAATGGAGAAATGCTGTATTATATCAAATTAGTTATTTTCACGTTTGTATAACCATATCCACTAGGGCCTTTTGAATTTCAGCTTCTCGATCGGCATATATTTTTAAAATTTCACTCTTTTCCTCCTCTATTTGTATAAGTTGTTGCATGGTAATATCCAATACTTTGAGCATCTCTTCTACTTTCCGTTCGATATTTTTGAAATACTGGACAAAACTGGAACCATTTTCTATTGTTAAAGGGTTTGTAGGTTTCAATTCCATATGCTTTTTTACATTGTAAAGACGTTGTAATTCATTTAACAACATAACTTTCATTACAAACAGCTTTTTCGTATCCAAAGCGGTTCCCTCCAAAATGGTTGAGGCTGCCAAATGTCTTCGTCTCAATAAAATCTTTTTAATTATTTCTATTTTATTCTCCATTTTTATAACGAAGATTTCCTTCTTTTCACAACTGAATTATATACAAAAATATGTAGTTTGATCCCCAAGACGCTTGAATTACAAATCATGGAATTTAATTATCCATTTCGATTATCGATTCAATGTCAGTTATCGATAACTAATGTATTATCAACAAAAAAACAATATGGCCACTCCCATTGAGCGTCATTGCTTTTCACTGTGTAAAAAAATTTATAAAAAAAAGTTATTGAAAACATTTCCATATTATTTTATTTGTTATTAACTTAATTTAATAATAAAATCAGCAACAACGGCGGCCAATAAACATGAAATCTGGACTAAATCAAAAATGGCTGGTGTGTCGTATATGCCTCAAACAACCAAAGGAGGAGATGCAAACCATATTCGACAAAAATGCTGAGAAAGATTTGACGCGTATGATATTAGAATGTGGTGGAGTGCCTGTAGGTGACATCTCAAAAAGAATAACTGGAATTAATTATGTTCAAAAACGAAATTACTTTCTTTTCCTCTAGATAAAACAATTCGATCATTATCCCGATAAGATTTGTAAAATCTGCTACAAATACCTGCAAGTAGCATATAAATTCCGTCAAAGTTGTCAAAGGTCTCACAAGCATTTAAGCAAATTCATAGCTCCCGTGGAAGTTGATGATCCTAAAGATACTTTGCTTTTTAATGCAGCAGACGAAGATACCAATGATTCGACACCAAATACTGTGGCCTTTACGGAAGAAGGCTATGTACTTGAAGATGCCAATGGTGATGATGTATTAATAAAATTGGAACAGGAAACCACAGTCAATGCTGCGTCAACTTCAGTAGCTGTCAAAGAGGAATACTCGGTTCAAATACAGGAGGAAGATGATGATTTCGTGGAAATCTATGAACCTATGACAGAGGAAGAGGAAAAGGAGGTCTTCCAATTAGCAGATGAAGCATTTGAAAATGATGTGAGTAGCATATATGTGTGCAAACAAGCAGACAGGTTAAGATTTATATTCAAAAGTAATGTGAAGCACGTTGTGACAAATTAAGAGGGTTCGTTTTACAATTTATAATAATTTATCAATTTGAAACAGGATTTTTTTTGTCGCTAACAAGAATGTGCATAGCCAGGGGCTAAAGGGTACCGAAGAGGTCAATTTCTACTTATTTTTTGGTTTCAATAAGCATTTTACAGCTTCGAACAACGCACCCAACCGCCATGAGAACCAGCAAACAATTACTAATTAATTTATCTTAAATTCGGAATTTATTGTGAATATTAATTAAGATTTACTTTGTTTATTCTAGAGTCTAACTGGCAGTCAAGACAATATAGAATATTTGGAATTGGAAGAAGACCTTGAATTACCATCATCAGACAATGATGAATATGTCCCAGTTGAAAATCGTAAAACACAACGCAGTAGAGTTGTTATGAAACGTACCATTGTTAAGCCCTCGACCAGCCAACCTGCTACAAAGCGAAAACGTACCGGCACCCGCGAGAAAAAATCAAAAGACACAGCCTACATCTGTGATTTCTGTGGTAACAAATATCCCTCCCAAGGCAGGTTGACGGAACACATTAAGTTACACAAGGGTATTAAGCCACATGAGTGCGAGTAAGTTACTATTGCAAACAAATAATCAGCATGTTTTAATATGACTTCTATGAATAGAATTTGTGGTTATGCCTTTGCCCAGACACAACAATTGGCGAGGCACATGAATACCCATACCGGTAATCGTCCCTATAAATGCAGTTATTGTCCTGCGGCCTTTGCTGATTTGTCTACAAGGAACAAACATCATCGGTAAGTGGCAACTAAAGCATTTGAGCTTAACTAGAAAAGGATTTTGTAAATGTTTCTCTTTTTTTCTCTTTCCAGCATTCACACCAATGAAAGGCCATATATTTGTGATGTTTGCGGCAAATCGTTTACCTATACAAATACATTGAAATTCCATAAAATGATACATACCGGTGAAAAACCTTTTGTGTAAGTAGAACATCTACCTTCCAGCTAGATATAAAGAGTATCTTCAAAAGGCCTTTAAGCCAAAAAAATAGAATAGGGTGTTGCAACAGAATGACAATCGATGTTATTTCCTGTATTCAAATCCAATAGAAGGACCTTTATTTGCAGAAGTCTTATAAAAAGATCTTAAGTTCTTTGAAATATCTATATAAAAATATCTAAATATGATCTTTCCAGAGAATACTTTTACTAATAAGACGATCATAATAGATTATTTTCTTAGATGTCTTAACGATGTTCTACTATAACTGTACATTAGACGATCTTCCATTTTAAAATTCCTATTTAATGTATTATTCTGCAGAAGGTCTTCAATTTATGTTAAACCTCTAAAATAGGTCTTTAGAGGGAATCTCATCTATAAATATTTAAAAATCCGTCTATATAAAGAAGAATATGTAGTAAATTCATGAAGAAAGAAGTCGTTTATAATTTAGAAATGTTTTCAAAACTTATTAACAATTCAATTTTGCTTTATTTTTTGCAGATGTGAAATTTGTGGCAAAGGCTTCCAACAAGCCTACAAATTACGCAGTCACAAGATGACCCACGAAAAGAAAGGAATCAAATTAAATATGACCCAAATGGAAAATAGCAATACCATGGAACAGCAAACGTATCAGGAAATGAGTGTAGAAACGGCAACACATCAGCTTTTACAGATTTAAACCAAACAATTCTTACAAAGTGAATAAAAAAATATTTTTCCTTTTATTTTTTGTTTAGTTTTGACCACAATATATTTAATATAAAATATATAACTATAAACAAAACGAAGAAAACAAGTAATACACTCAGAAAAAGTTTTAGTAAATTCTTAAGATGGATTACTTCTCAGTTTAAATGCAAAAATAAACGAAAAAAAATATTATTTCCAAATATTACAGTTTATTAGCCTCCGCTTTTGTTCAATTCTTTAAAAATTTAGCATGATAGGCAATGTGTTCACCCACAAATGTCGCAATGTAATAATAGCTATGATCATATCCTTCACGTTGTTTGTATATGGCTTGTAAGTGATCATTTCCAGCACATGCTGTCAACAAGTTATCGGGCAACAATTGCTTTTGTTTAAGGAAATTATCATCACTACCCTGGTCAATGAAAAGTTCTAATGGAGTGCCGGCATAGTTCTGGGCCAAGTGAGTGGCATCATACTGCTTCCATTGTTCCTTGTCATCACCCAAATATCCCTTCAAAGCTTTTTGTCCCCAAGGACATTCAATGGGATTACAAATGGGGGCAAAGGCCGATACCGATTGATATTGACCGGGATTTTTAAGGGCACATATCAATGCTCCATGACCACCCATACTGTGGCCAAAGATACCCTTCTTATTAGGCAAAACAGCAAAATTCTTGTTTACCAATTCCACCAGTTCCTCGGTAACATAGGAATACATAAGGTAATTCTTGGACCATGGTTCCTGAGTGGCATTGACATAAAAGCCGGCACCCGATCCAAAGTCATAGGCATCATCTTCACCGGGTATGTTGACATTGCGTGGAGATGTATCGGGATTCACTATCAAAATACCTTCCTTGGCCGCATGTTGTTGCATACCGGATTTGTGAATGAAATTCTCATGGGTACACGTCAAGCCGGACAGATAATATAGAACGGGACATTCTTTTTTCTCTTCCAACATACAGGGCGGCACGAAGACGGAAAATTTCATTTCACAACCCAATACAGTTGAGTTGTGGCTGTAAATGCGTTGTTCGCCTTCGAAACATTTGCTGCTAGATACTAATTCTAGGGCCATGTTTTCTAGAAAATATCGCTATATAGCACTATTTTAAAATATTGCAAAATCAGAAAGTCAGCGAATTGTATTCTGAACCCTCGAATCTTCCGATAAGGCAGACACACTACTGACGTATGTTTAGAGTTGCCAATCTATTGAATTATTTATTAGCTCTTTTCCTATACGTGAATGTTCAGATTTTTGCTCGTAATTAAGTCCGGTTGCGTTGTGGAAAGCCTTGAGGGCAAGACAGAAGTAACAAATAAAGGTGCTGATACTTAGAAAGCATTTTTGTTTGTTTAAGTCATTGGCTGGTTTCTTCGAAGAACAAAAGAGTTTTAGGTGGCCTTAGTTCAATTTTGGTCCATTTCCTAATTCTGTGATGAGCCAATCAAATAAAAGCAATTCTTGCTTTAAATAGATTTTTTTTCATTTTTTTCTTTTTTATTCAGAAACTTTAGTTTCATTTTGATGGGAAAGAAAGTAGAAGAAGATATGACGACCACATGAATACGAAAAAGAGTTGGCAACTCTATACTTTGACAACAGAAGAGAGGCAACGTTTGTAAACAAAAACGTTTATGAAAATAAATTCCTCTGAAAAACAAAATAAAAATTGAATAATGTCTGAAGAAACAGCATCGACTTCCACCAGTTTTGGTTTCAAAAAACGAAATATCAAGAAGCCAGCATTCCGGAGAAAACAGGAATCAAGTAATGAGTCAGGTAACACAAATTATGAAGATATTCTTGCTCTCTTCTTTTTAATAAACGATTCCCTCCAACGAAATAGATGCCGGTAGCGCTGAAGAGGAGCAACAGCAAACCTCAGCCGTTGTGCGTTTGGAACAGAGACGTAAACGTGCCAATCCAAATTTTCAAAGTACAAAACATATCAAAAGCAAAAAGGAACGAAATAACAAAGACTCCACTTCCAGCAGCAGTGAGGAAAGCGATGACGAAAAACGTGTATCGGTATCGTATAAATCCAAACGTACAGCCATGCCAAGTGGTCCACAGGATCAGGGTGCAACCTCAGTGCTGGAAATCGATACAGAACTCGATCGTGATGCCCAGGCGATACATGAGAAAGCCATAAAAGTCAACGAGGAATTAGAGGGCAAAGCGGATGATAAAATCTATCGTGGTCTTAACAACTATGCCCAGTACTATAAGAAGAAAGATACAGCGGCCGGCAATGCTAGTTCGGGTATGGTACGTAAGGGTCCCATCAGAGCACCGGCTCACTTACGTGCCACTGTACGTTGGGATTATCAGCCAGATATTTGTAAGGATTACAAAGAAACCGGATATTGCGGGTTTGGTGATAGTTGTAAATTTTTACATGATCGCAGTGATTACAAGGCTGGTTGGCAGTTAGAATTGGATCATGCCGCCCAGCAGAAGGGCGAATGTGAGTCGGACGAGGATGATTCGAAGTATGAAATACATTCCGATGAGGAATCGTTGCCGTTTAAATGTTTCATATGTCGTCAGAGTTTTGTTAATCCTGTGGTAACAAAGTGAGTATGGGAAATTTATAGGATTGTTGTATTTGTAATATTTTTTATAATTTCTTTGCAGATGTAAACATTATTTTTGTGAAAAATGTGCATTGGAACATTACAAAAAGTCTCAGCGTTGTTTTATTTGTTCCCAACAAACAAATGGTATTTTCAACCCAGCAAAGGAATTAATAGCCCGCCTTAAAAATGAGGTAGATGAGGCAGATCGTCATGGTCATAGTGATTCAGATGAGGCTAGTGATTAAGATAATGTTGGCGTTTTTTTTTAATAAATTTTTATATCGCTTATATGATGTTTGAATTATTTTAATAACGTTGGAAGCCTTTAAACCTAATGTATTGTACATTTCAAATGGGATTTCCGGAACAAGGCTGCATTTAGGTCTAGTTTAAATAAAATTACAGAAAGAAAATGATTGCGAAAGAAGACACAATGTTCTTGTGTGTAATTTAAGGGTTCGTTTCTTTATGTGGAATCAAAAGTGAATGCGAATAAAAAACAATATTGCAATTTGACAAACTTTTAAAATGGTGTAAAGAAACAAGTCCTTAATTTGTTATTCAATAAAACCAAATAGTTGAAACAACTATTTTTCTTTTGGCACACACAAACTGGTCTTTAATATTTTTAAGGGATCATTAAGAACACTATCAAGTGTTTAGTCTTCTTTAATCTTGGATGCGTTGGGAATAACTTTGATCAATTGTTTTAATATGTTGACAACTAGGAGGATTTTCAAATAATGTTTACTATGCATCCGTGTATTAAATTTTTTTTCAGGTCCGCAAAAGACGACTTTAATGAATACTTTCTGATGAGGAAATATACTTTAAAATGAATATTTTCTACTGCACCAAAATTCATTTTAAAAATATTTTAAGACGTGGATTTCAATAATATTTTAAAGGAAACACTTGAAAACACTCGAAACATAATATTTTTAATAGTAACAGTTAATATTTATCTGTTTCAAGTTCCATGCATTCTTGCTGACACTATCGCATTCATATACTTTTCTATACCGGAAAAAGGAAATGCGTTACCCATGGAACCCCACGGAACAAACTTACACACACATGTTTATTTACGTTACGGATATTTAACATACCTGACAGCACAGTATGCGGAAATAACAAGACACCAATTTCATTTAGACCTATTGTTCGCATTGCCTTTGTTTTGATGTCCTGTTCACGGCAAAATCCGGCATTCGATTCCTTTATCAACATTTGTTGGGTTCATTTAATGAAGAAACATGGTTATAGGAAACTAGAAATAGACGGACATGCATGAGGAAAACGATAAGTGCATTTGCAACGGAAAGTCTAAAAAATAAACATAGAACGGCTCTTGCTTGTCAGAATATTTCCGCATGGGGAACAAACTTAAAAATGTGACACAGTTTAAATTTATTCCAAAGTAACGCTTAATGAATTCATGGTCCATTTTTGAAAACAATCTATATATTAAAGGGTAGTGAAATGGCCAGACGAAATGGCTTGAAATTTTGAACTTCTTGAAATTTTGCACGAGGGTCTGTCTTTGTATGAAAAGGATAGGGTTTTGGAAATACGTACTAAAAGATTAGGAAATGTACGAAATGTATCAAAAATTGAATGTACCTGTATTGGACAAAGTGAATGAGATAGAATTCTGAAATTTTGGAAAAAAGTCACTGATGGAATGCAGGATAGGCGTACCAAAAGGAAATTCGAACTTTAAGGTGAAATTTGGTATTAGAATCAATCAAAGAAAGTAAGGTTTCGAATATATGAAGGTGGTTTCTCTGTAGTAGAGAGTAATATGAAGTTAAGTCAATGGGGCGAATACTCCAGACTTATATTTAACACTTTCTAAAAATCGAAAATAAAGATTTCTTTTTTCAATTTCTTAGCCAACTTTTAAAAATGTCTACTGCATATATATTAGTGTTACAATATTTACACCTGACACCACATCACTCTTGCAGAGAATGCCACAAAAAATACCACTGACTTTTAATATCCGTAAATTATGAGTAACTGTCAAAACCTAAACACATTTTTTTTCCCCAAAAAGGATATCCCTTTCTTAGTTTTTTTTTTTATGTTCTTAATATAGTTTCCTTTTGCTCCACGTTTAGTTCTTACTTCCTAAGCATGTATGTTCTTTATTTATTATTTAACACTTTCTTTAACAATTTCCGCTAAATAGTCTCTTCCGAGCAAACAATGACAGCAAAAAGCGGCGAACTTACATTGATAAAAATGCAATGACATAGCCATACACAAATAACAAACTCAACCTTTTGTCCGCCTGCCATTGTTTATGTTTAGGTCTAGAGGAACAGCAGCAACGAAAATAACAACAATAAAAGATAAGGTAAACATTTTGGAAGGCAGCAGGAACGACTTTTCAATGACCTTAAAATGGGTAATATGTAATGGATTTGAAAATGTCTTGGCAAAAAATGCCAAAACTTTTGTTTTAAAATATTTAAAAATTTCTTGAAAATAATTTTCAAAATCTTCGAGATATTTTATAATTATAGATGTGAAAAAGCACATGCAAAACAACGCTTTAAATTCATTGTAAATTTAATTGAAAACCTTTAAAAATTCAAAACTCCGTGAAAAGATATTTTAAAAGAACTTTAAAAAATATTTGAAAAGTTCTTTAAAATATATTTGAAAAGTCTTTTCAAGTCTTTTCAAAGGACTTGAAAAAATGTTTAAAAAATCCGCGTTTGATGATATTCTTGAAAAAATGTTTAAAAAAATCCACGTTTGATGATATTCTTGAAAAAATTTTTAAAAAAATCCACGTTTGATGATATTCTTGAAAAAATGTTTAAAAATCCACGTTTGATGATATTCTTGAAAAAATGTTTAAAAAATCCACGTTTGATGATATTCTTGAAAAAATGTTTAAAAAATCCACGTTTGATGATATTCTTGAAAAAATGTTTAAAAAATCCACGTTTGATGATATTCTTGAAAAAATGTTTAAAAAATCCACGTTTGATGATATTCTTGAAAAAATGTTTAAAAAATCCACGTTTGATGATATTCTTGAAAAAATGTTTAAAAATCCGCGTTTGATGATATCCTTGAAAAAATGTTTAAAAAATCCACGTTTGATGATATCCTTGAAAAAATTTTAAAAAATCCACGTTTGATGATATTCTTGAAAAAAGGTTTAAAAAATCCACGTTTGATGATATTCTTGAAAAAATGTTTAAAAAATCCACGTCTGATGATATTCTTGAAAAAATGTTTAAAAAATCCACGTTTGATGATATTCTTGAAAAAATGTTTAAAAAATCCACGTTTGATGATATTCTTGAAAAAATGTTTAAAAAATCCACGTTTGATGATATTCTTGAAAAAATGTTTAAAAAATCCACGTTTGATGATATTCTTGAAAAAATGTTTAAAAAATCCACGTTTGATGATATTCTTGAAAAAATGTTTAAAAAATCCACGTTTGATGATATTCGTGAAAAAATGTTTAAAAAATCCACGTTTGATGATATTCTTGAAAAAATGTTTAAAAAATCCACGTTTGATGATATTCTTGAAAAAATGTTTAAAAAATCCACGTTTGATGATATTCTTGAAAAAATGTTTAAAAAATCCACGTTTGATGATATTCTTGAAAAAATGTTTAAAAAATCCACGTTTGATGATATTCTTGAAAAAATGTTAAAAAAAATCCACGTTTGATGATATTCTTGAAAAAATGTTAAAAAAAATCCACGTTTGATGATATTCTTGAAAAAATGTTTAAAAACTCCACGTTTGATGATATTCTTGAAAAAATGTTTAAAAAATCCACGTTTGATTTGATATTCTTGAAAAAATGTTTGATGATATCCTTGAAAAAATGTTTAAAAAATCCACGTTTGATGATATCCTTGAAAATAATGTTTACAAAATCCACGTTTGTAGAGCTGTTCATGTTCTTGAAAAAAAAAAAAATTAAAAATCCCTGTTCTTTTAAATCCCCGTTTTCAGAGCCTTATCCATAATACTTATGTTCATAGCGTGTCCTTATTGTAGGGTACAAAAACCTAGTAAAAAGGTATAATATTCCGCTTCCTCCAAACGGTAGTTATATTCCTACCCAATACCATCTGTAAGTGTTGTTTTGGCCGGGGGCCAAATTTGGAAAAAAAGAATTGAACCGCTGCAGTACATCTCAAACTAAGGTACTCTGGTGGGAGGAGGACGGGGAAACGTCCGCAAAATGCCGCTCTAACTGTATAACTTAAATGACTATCAAAGTGGTTCGTTCTGTCTTTTGCTGTTGTTATTATCAGTTGTTGCAGTTGTTCATCTAAGTTGTTGTTGTCGTTGTTATTGCCTCATTGCAGTAATGTTGTTTGCCACATTGTTTGTGTCTGGCTTTTAAGAGTTTGTTGTTTTTTGTGGCTGTCCTGTTCGCTGGGTTTCAAAGCTGTTGACAATGTTGTAACATATTTGTTGTTTATCGTAGTTGTTGTTGTTGCTGCCTCTGCTATTGTCCGTTATAACAGTATTTACATGCATAAGCATGTTCTTTGTTGACCCGATTTGTTAACATTGTTAGTGAAAAGAAGTAAAGTGACAGTTTTTTGTGTTTATTTTGTTGTTTTTTTTTGTTGTTATTGTCCTTTTTTGCCGTTGTTTTTGTTGTTGTTGATTATCTGTGCCACACTATGTAGGTACAAATGTCCCGACCTAGGTATTTGTGTTTTGAACACAATTTTCAACACATTAGTTTAAAAAAACGGGGTGGACAAGTGATGAATCGAAGAGGATAAGCTAGTAATATGAGAGTAGAAGTGTGGGAAGTATTAAGGAAGTAATTGTCGGTGTTTTTTCCAGTTTTGCTAATTTTAAATATTTTCAGTTACACAGGGTAAATATTTGAACTCATTTTTCAAAGAAATCTGAACACTTTGAAAAAAAAACTGTTTAAAAAATCCACGTATCGGTCAAAAAAAGAAATGTTTAAAAAATCCTCATATCCTTGAAAGAATCTTTAAAAAATCCTCTCATCCTTGAACAAAATATTTAAAAAATCCACGTATCCTTAAAAAATGTTTAAAAAATCCACGTATCGGTCAAAAAAAGAAATGTTTAAAAAATCCTCATATCCTTGAAAGAATCTTTAAAAAATCCTCTCATCCTTGAACAAAATATTTAAAAAATCCACGTATCCTTAAAAAATGTTTAAAAAATCCACGTATCCTTGAAAAAATGTTTAAAAAATCCTCGTATCCTTGAAAAAAATGTTTAAAAA